TAAGGACTTTCGCTCTGGACAAGAGGATAAACTGCATACTCAATTAACCTGTCAAGGCTCTTTCTTCTCTAATATAACAAAGTTCTCACTGTCCCAACTCACTAAAATTTGGTCTGCGTGCCAATCGAACCTTCCGAAAAATTATATTCGACTTTACAGTTCGATACATTAATAACTCCCTTCCAACGCGCCAAAACCTTGCAAGATGGGGTTTATCACCGACTTCAGACTGTTCGCGATGTCTAGCTCCTGAAACACTTCGGCACGTAGTAGCTGGTTGCCAATAGGCCTTTCCCCTTATAACCAAAATTTTGATCTAGGCACGTCTAGACAAATATTTCATCACAGCTTGAAAGAGCATCACAAAATTAGTAATATTCCAAAGTTTCGGTGCGAAACTTGTGTGTTGTAAAATGAGGAAAATAGAGCCTTGCGAAGTTTGCAATTTTCAGTCATTTTGCATTACAAACGGGAAATTGCAGCCCCAACACCCGAATCGGATGTCAATTTCCCGTTTGTAATACAAAATGTCTGAAAAACGGCAAACTTCGCAAGGCTATATTATCCGCATTTTACAAGATTTTGCAACAAAACTTTGGAATATTACTAATTTTGTGATGCTCTTTCAAGCTGTGATGAAATTTTTGTCTAGATCGAAATTTTAGTTATAAGGGGAAAGGTCCATTGTATCTAGAACGATTCACGTGGAAACATGACTCCGTTCTAAACTTTCTCGCAACAAGCCTGCAGACCGTAAGCGGCTCATATCTTTAAGTGGATCTTCCAGGGTACAAAAGTCCATCAATCATCACTGGTGACACCTACCGTCCAGATTTGCTTCTGTTAACCTCAACCGGAACACTCTATATTGTTGAACTTACAGTTAGCTTCGAATCAAATCTTCAAAAAAACGTTGAGCGTAAAAAATCAAAATATAAAGAATTAATTAGGGAACAAAATGAACATTTCAACTCAGTGAAATTTGTAAATCTTTCGATTAGTTCTCTTGGTGTTTTCAGTAAAGAATGTTCTACTTTCATAGAAATGCTTAATGATTTTGGTTTTCAAAAGTAACATCAGAATTACTGTATTAGAAGAATGACGACGATTGCAATCCGAACAACGTATTATATATTTTGTTGTCGAAACAAGGAATGGATGAATCCGGAACTGTTAAGTGTTTAAACGCTGTACTGTCATTTTGTTATCTTAATAGATGATGACTATTGCCATTCGAAGTACCTTTTACATTTTCTGCTGTCGAAATAAGGAATGGGAAAGTCCGGACTTGTTAACTATTTGAAATATTTTATTGTCTTGTATATTTATATATTTTCATGTATTCAGATTTGTCATTATTATAATTTATATAGTTGTGATTCAAATAGCCAATTGTACGCTACCTTAATTAGTGAGATTTACAATTGTATACATATAGTATATAACAAAATTATGAAAAAAGTTTCCATTATTATTATTATTATTATTATTATTATTTTTATAAACACTAGAACACACAGCACAGTTGGCACATATCATTAATAAAGCGCGAGTAAAACAACGATCACTTATCATAACACTATTAGATCTCAAAAATGCATTCGGCGAAGTCCACCAATAACCTTATTTATGAAGTCCTTGAATATCACCACATTCCCGATCACATAAAGAATCTTGTCAGTAGCCTTTATACTGATTTCCAAACTTCCATAATAACTGAACAGTTCAATACTTCCTTCATTACAGTCGGTCGTGGCATCCTTCAAGGCGATTGTCTCAGTCCTCTTTTATTCAACATGTCTTTCAATACCTTTATCCAACATATTAAATCGGAAAAATACCGTCAACTTGGATTTTGGAAATCCAGCGAAAACGGTACCCCATTAAATCCTCTTCATTGGTTCCAGTTTGCCGACGACGCGGCTGTTGTTAGCGGCCAAGGAAAAGAAAAAGAAAACCAAATGCTCCTCATTCGCTTTACAATCTGGTGTCAGTGGGCTGAAATGATAATACGTGTAGACAAATGTTCAACATTTGGCATTAGGAAACAATTAACCAATCCATTCAATATCTCCCAAAACTATTTATAAATAACTGTCTTGTACCACGTGTTGAACTTGGTAAATCGTTTCGCTACTTAGGTCGATCCACGGGACGAAAAAATAGATCCGCACTAAATTTGCAATAGTTGCGAATTTGATGCAAATTTAGTAGTTTGAATTCGCAACCATTGCGAATTCATCTTTGCACCTAGATAAATTTGCTTCATATTTGCGTACATCTTTGCAGGCTTGCAAATTTAATACTATATTTGCAACACATTTGCACATAACTGCCAATTTGTGACAAATTCTTCAAGCTGGCTTTGTTTTTATTATTTCCAAGTCAACATATATTTTGAACTAAGTCTAAGATTTCAAAATTAGTTTGTTTATAATTTTTTTAATTCAAATATTTTGAAGAGTATTTTATATTCTGCGATTTACGAGAGAGCTCCTGACAAATTACCGATTTATTATTTACTGTCGAAGGCTCTGGAATCCAGGGTACTGACAAATACTCATCTATATAATGTACCTATATCATTTCTATTTTAAAGTTTTAAAGACTTTAAAATGTAGGACTTCTCAAGAGTAGAGACGAGTGGTTTGTTATCGTAATTGTTTTGATAAAAACACTCCCGATATATTTTGTTTTTGGAAGCACAGAAAGTTGTTCAATCGCGTTGATGTTGGGATTGAATTGATACTGTTGTAGTGTGAATCTTGTGTACTGATAACCTATTTGTAGAAAGTCATGCAGCATTAACACCATTGCAGGAGATGCAAGGACGTTAAGCCGTATATTTTGGAACACATTTGCAATAAATTGGCATATGCATTCGCACACTGAATGGGTAGTAGCAAATCTAATGACATATTTGCATCAACTTTGCACAACGGGCAAATATATTGGAAATATTAGAAGTTAGTTAATGCATTGATTAATAGAAATAGCTTTTTCAATTGCAATCCTTCTATATTTTCCAGTAACAGCAACATGCACTATAGCGCCGAAGCAAGCATTTATATTGCGTGAGTAAACAGCAGCGTAACTGGTACATAAATAATAGATGAAAATGCGCGTGACTGTGTTGCAGATGCATGTATTTGGAAAAATTGTATTTTCTTCTATACTTTTATCCGAATAATCTAGCTAATTGTATAATATACTTTCATGGTTTTCATAATCAGCCAACTGATCCTGCATATATAGGCTATGAACTGTCCGAAGTTCTATAAGATTGCAAAAAATATACGTGAAGTCTTTAGATAATTATCTAGCTATATTCGATAATGACTTGGAGACTTGTGCTGTCTATACCGAAACTACACTAGGGTCACTCAGCGTAAAAAAAGTGTCCACATTGTTTACTGGCTGCCAACCTGTAATTAACACATTGGCAGCCAGAAACGGCAGCAGTTCACTATAAAATTGTATTACAGAGTAATGATGTTAGCCGCATAAAACACCTGGGATCTAGCTTAAAT